TTCACAAAAGTCGAACACCAAGTAGAAGGTTGAGCGGTATCGATTGTGTGCAGAGGCCTTTGTGCGACAGATTTCAATCAAATTCACCACATTTTCGTGTTTCAAGAGTTGCAAAATTCGAATCTCTCGCAACGCCGTAATTGGAAACTGTAGACAAACCAACAAAAAATCAGAACATCAAAATGACCTGGAAAAAATGAATGACATTGTGAATACTAACGCCTTCTTTTTCATTATCCATAAGAACTTTTTTCATCGCGACAAATTTCTTGTTGGAACGTTTTTCACGTGCTTTGAACACTTCACCGAATGTGCCCTGACCAATTTTCGCCACTTTCTCATATTTAGTTGACTCGTCACAATAGGGAAAATCATAGTTTTCAATGTATTTATAATTAGCAAGCATCGTTTGGCTGCTTGACGTTGCTTCACCACCGCTGGGATTAGAATTACTGCTGGATTTCTGTGATGAAGTGGCTGTTGAACCGGCGGCAGTGTGTGATTGCATCGATGGAACAGTTGATGGACCAAATTGACTTGTATTTAGACTACTTGATGATGTATCCATCGATTCACCGTCACGACCACCTCTACTTGCCATGGTTTTGTTATTTGTATCGTATCAAATGCAATTCTTTAGTTACAACTCTACTTTGTCTCAATCATCAATTGGATTGAGCCGTTAAAAGTACGAAACGAAATGTTTCATTCAAAACCAAATGAACCGATACAATGCGAATGAAAAAAAAACAACAGTCGTCAATTTTATTAGCAAATTTGACATTGACGGATGTTCGTGTCTTAAGTAAAAGTAGCATAACACTCGCTCAAAATGGCCAAAGCAAAATGTGAACGTCAATTGCGATGGAGACGGTGGATTTTGTGTATTATTTTTGTTCGAAATGCGGCATTTTCAATCGTAATTGAGCTATGGCTTTAAATTTTGGTTTTTTCAAGTCTTCTTTGAAAAGAAATTCGTTTTTTTTTTCTCAATAAAAAATTTCTTTTCTTACAAAAAGCGATGGTTCGAGCATTACCTTCCTTGAAGAAAAACACCGTATTCATTATGATTCCAACAAATTTATTTCCTTATTTTAAAACAATACTAAAATCTCTTACAGCAAAATCAATTTTCAAGCTTGATTTCGACAAATGATCGATATTCGTTGATCTTTAACCACCTCATTGCCCATGAATTTGGATTTTGATGCCAAAACTTCGTGTGAAAATTTGTATCGAGCTGAATCTTTCATGATATACAACGAACGTCTTTTGAGTAAAATATCAACAAAGTAGCTAAATTCCGATTTCTCCAGATTGTTGACCTCTTGTTTCGATTGGTTGCCACTTTGCTTTCTATCATCTCCACCTTCTCGACTTTGTTTGTGTTGATTTTCGTCAACTCGTTTCAGCCTCATGATGCAATCGGTCAGTAAACTAAGTCCGGCAATTGTAGTACCACAATACCGTGAACTATCAACATGTGGTTTTATGATGCCATCAGCAGCCAAATCAAGAATATGTACATGTGGTAAGACATTTGCAACGAATGCTTTACTTCTGACACGTTCGAAGATTCTTTCATTTTCTGGCCACCAATCAGTTTTTTCCATTTCACGATACCCATGAATGGCATCGTCCCAATGATCGTATTGGTATCGCATCCGTTTCATGGTTTTCTTCGTCTCAGCAAACAAATGCTCCTCCTCTTCTTCGCTAATGAAATCCTCAATCAGAATCATATCACGAACGAATTCAGTTTTAACATCAGCCGGCCACTCATCGTAGAAATCGAAGAGGTGATTTTGATTTTGATTTTGATTATTCGGTTGCACCAAATCAAACTGCGTTTTTGACGAATGATAGCGATGATGTAACGAGATACACTTTAAGTCACATTTTAATTTACATGCTGAATGATTATTGCTAAGAGATTGACTAAAATTTCGCTGATTTTGATACAAAATTGGCCATATTTTCCACAGAATATGCCGTTGCTGCCGAACACCAGCCACCAAAACCATTTTCGCACACTTTGTTATTGTTCAACTCGGTGTTGACATTGAACGAATGTCAAGCGAATTCGATTTCGAAATATTCGAATCAGCTGCATTCGTGTAAATAGCAATTTCTGCCTGTAGATGTGTTGGTATGCGAGCGAGAAAGACAGATTTCTCTACTTACTTGCACATGAGCTCAATCTTTTGTATATTGAAGCTAATTGTGTACATATTTTGATGCAAGGAATATCAATTTCCTAGAATGTACATCTCCAATGGATCGAATATCAAAGGTCGACATTTTTTACCGGGAAGCCAAAGTACGTCAGAGATTGTGCTTAAAAATACAGAAGAACTACGCCGAATTTTGCAATCCCAAATAAATTTTTCGATTTCATGTTTTTCAATCGCAAAACCAAATGTGATCAATTTCAAATAGAGTCATTTCCATGTGGGAGGTACACAAAATACACATTTTGTTCAATCAATATTTATTCTTATTTTTAAAATCATCTAGTCTACAAGTCTACATAAATCATTTTGTAAATTAATTTCATAAATTAAAAAAAATCTTTGTAATACAATTTATAAACGTTTTCATTTTTAAAAAAATATCTTCGTTTTTTGTAGCAAAAGAAAAAAACATATTTGAAAAGACATAAATTTTCATTTAGTAAAGCTTGAAATTCTAGCCTTGAATACTTTAAATCTAAATGCCTCAAATGAATCCAAAAACAAATTTCAAATTTATATATTCACAGTTGATTCGTTTTCAAATTATTTTTCATTCTCTTTCCTTCTCTCTCGTTCACAGAGGGAGTACTCTTTGTATGTCTATCTATTTCACAATTTCTTTTGAGCATCTTAGTAGCAAATGGAAGGACACTTGTTGAATCATCATAATTAAATATATCCACTAAATTCACATTTTGTGGTTAGTTTTCTTCGTGGTAAGTCGTATTTGGGTAACTTACTTCTCTCTCTCGTTAGAGTGTTGAATTACACCCGAAAGAACTACGCATTTTGAGCATATTGTAACACCAATCAATGGACACTCTCTGTGTTTTCCAATAATAAAAAAATGTGTCCATTGTTTTGATTAAAATATCAATTGTATGAGGTATGAAACCAAACTTTAAGATCGCAGCTGATACATTGGTCGATTTTCGCCTGGAATTCAACCATATACGATATCCGTTGCTATTTGCTTTTACTGGCCATCGTTTGACATTTCATGAGCTCGTCGAACTTTTTCGAACAATTCTCACAGTTTTCATAGGAAAAACTGAAAAAAAAATCAACAGAAAAATGATTATTATGTGAAATTGATCAATTCAGAATTCTAAAAAAAATTTCTTCTTCGCATTGACCACTTACTTGATTGCCGTTGATAGAGCGCGATTCTTTTCAATTTCATTGTTTAGTTGCTGTTGCATCGACAAAATAATTTCGTTTTTGGCTCTGAGTTGCATTTTTAAATGGTTGATCGTATCTTCTTGTGCCTCAAAAATGGCTCGACATTCTTCGATCGATTCCGAGTACGTTGGCGGCTCGTCCAGGCAGAAGAAATCCCGTACGGGCTGTGAATTTCGGTATGTTTCATTGGCCATAATTGTGTTTATAAATATTTGTAGTCCCTGAACGCGATTACTCAAGAATAAACTACTGAAATTATCACCGAATAGCTTTTTGCGTGGCAACGTGAGCGGCGGCAAATGCGGAAATGTCGTTTTTAGCTTGCTGTTGAGCCGCTGAAAATCGGTGTAACGACGTAATACCAGCCAACAGTCATTTGTAAATGGATTCTCGACTCGCAGTTTATATACCTACAAAAAGTGGATGCAAACGGTTATTTTTGATAGTATTTTGATAAAAGAGAAGAAAAACATTCATCTAAAAATTGAACTCTTGTGGAAAAACGTCGAAAATCATGAAATTAAGTTTACCGTGAATCTGGCTCGTTCTTCCATAACTTCGTATCCCACGATTGGTATGCGAATATTATCCGGATCACAAAAGCCGACGCTTGGTGATTGTGTTGATGCACTCGATGCACTGGATGTCATACTGCCCGCCGTTTGGCTGCTATGTCCACTTTGAATCGACATCCTTTTCGTGTGTAGATTTCGTGGCGGCGTGTTCATTGATTTTGCGACCGTTGCGCTCTTCTTTGGTCGATTTAATGAATGATCGAACGTATTCGTCGATATTGATTGAAAGCTTTGTGTTGGAACTTGTGTACTGGCAATTGATTTCAGATGAAATTCCGATTTGGCATTAACCAATACATTCGCCTCATCTGGCATACACGACAAATCGGTCTCCGAATGCGAACGAATAATATGATTGTGTTTCCGTCGAAACGAATCGGTCGTAGACAATATCGATGATGATGCAGTTGCTGCTAAATTTGGTGTTGAGTGGAACTTCAACTTACTCACACTGATATTGGATTTGCTGTTATCAATTTGGTTCGATTTTATCACTGAACTCTTACAAAGTACACTACTTATCGGATTGGTAGTGCGTTGTGTGTATTTCGTTGATTTTTGTTGTGCATTCAATGGTTGTGTTTGCTTACGATAAATTTGGTGCGTTTCCTTCTCCTGCTTCAACAAACTGTGTTCTCGTTTTTTCAATGCTCGTTGTGACATTTCTCACGTTCTTGTTGTCGTTTGTGGTGCGTGTGTATGTGCGAGTGCTGCTTTATGCCACAATTTGCATAAATGTCAATCAAAATTTTCTTTCTTATCCGTTTGCTTGAATGATCACACAACCACAATGCACAGGCACACACTCAATCATTCGATTGATTTACAACGCCCATTGAAACTGTTTTCAATTCTATCACCTGTGCAATATCTAATCTCTATGTGTGAAAGTGACAGAGACAAAATTGGCAGAGAAACAGACAAAAAAAAAACTTTGTCGTCGTCGTCGTGCTGTATGTATTCACTCTTTCTCTCGAACTTGTTAAGAACCACTTGTGTATAAATTACTTTATTTCGTGCTAAACGTATCGAAACCGAAACCGACTCTATGGTATTTTATTCTGCAAGTTAATAGTGGTGGTATTGTTTTTGCTATTATCGCAATTATATTCGTCTGACTCGGTTCACCATATGGATATATATATATATATAATCGGTTGTATGTGATGAGTGTATGTGCGTCTCTTGATCGCACTGCTTCATTCCAAAAATGTACGATGTTTTTGTTACGCGACACTGAGCAATTTAGCATTCATAATTCTCCAACAGTACAGTACAATTGTACACACGAATGCGTATGCACTTCAAATGCTTAAACCACACAATATTCTTTCTAGTATTTTTATTTTCCTTTCTGCTATTCGTGTTCTTGTTTCGTATATTATTTCTTGTTGCAGTCTTTAACCATCCGAGCAACAAAACGAGCAGTAAATCGAAACGTTCAAATGAAATGACCCTATTTTAAAATGCAACAACATATGAAAAAACAACAAACAACAAACAATAAATAATATATATGCTCAACAAAATCAAATCAAAATAATAATGATTGAACATAAAAACCGAAAAATCATACGATAAAAAACAAAATAAGAAAACAACAGAAACCGTCCAGACCAAACACACACACTCAGCGCGTATATCGAATGGCAAGCAGAACAACGTAAAATAGTAAACGATAGAATGAAAAATGAGAGAGGGAGAGAAAATGAAAACAATAAACTTCATTCGTTGCACAGCACATAGACTTTGACAGTTCGAATATATGTGCGGCGAACGTGTTCGAAATGCGAAATAGAAATTCGAACATGGTATTGTTGTCGGTTGGAAAAAATTTGGTACATAAATCCATCAACCGTACCGGAAATCTAAGCAAAAACTTTTATTCGCAATAAATTTTATTCAAAATTTTCAATTCATTGCGAGTTGAAGCGATGGATGGAAGTTTTGTTAGAGTTTGTTTAGCCGCTTGTTTCGGCACATGCAAACAAACTACGATATTTCTAATCAGAATAAACACACATTTTATCGATCAAACTTCGTTTGGGTTTTTTTGGGAGGATGTGTGAAACAATATTGGACCTTGTAACTATTTGCGGTTGTTGTTTTTGTTTTGCCTTAATCGAATGTTAAAAACGAACATTAGCCAAAGTACTAACGTAAGAATGAGCGATAATGATGCCGACAGTGATACAGAGACCTATTGTAAGTAGTCGTCATTGCGGGTTTTTTTTTTGCACATCTCTTTAGTTGCCAGTTTTGAAATAAGTCAAACGGTATCATTTTTTTTGTGTCACCAGTTTTAACGCCAGTCAACGAATACAATATCGTGGATAAAATTCAATCGGCAAATAATTTATTGTTTGCATCGATTAACGACAAAGAGCACGATATGGAAATTGAACAGCAACCCAGTGAAATCGCAATCAAATCGGATAAATTTCTGCTGCAATCAAAGCATCGTGTTACATTTTCATCGGATATTGAAGAGTACGAAGATAATGGGAGCGAAGCGGAAAGTGCCGATATACAATATAAGGATGATGAAGCGATTGACAAAGAGATTGCCGAGATTATTGAACGAGGTGAAAGAGCACCCAGCAAACAGTCGGTCAACACTGATAACGATCAAATCGATGGCTTTATGAAGCGATTGTCGATCGAAGAGATTGTCAACTATTCGAATGACGAAGATAGTGTGTCCGATGATAATGAATATACCAGCGAGGTGGAAGTAGTTGAAGAGATAAATGAGGCCATAGTTGCGGAAGAAAGAGAAAATAGTGTAACGCCATCACCAGTACCAATTGAAATTGTAGACAATGCCAATGAACAAACTGCTGAAATTGAAAAACGAAAAAGGGCACCGATGTTAAGTAGAAACAATGAAAATGACCCACCGTGTAGAGCATGCAATAAAGTCACCAGTTCATCAGCTAGAGACTATGATTCTGCATTGAAGTCTAATCAAGCTAGATGCAGCGCTAAAACGGCAGCTGGCAACAGACCGGCCACTTCACAAACCAAACGAATCGCATCAGCAAATGTGCGTCGATGTTCGGCCAATAAACACATCATGAATCAAGACGATCTCCTTAAGATACATTTAAATGTGCGATCATGTTGCGAGAATAAGTACTTGGACAATAATCGGTTGCCACGGTACAATGGATACATTTCCCAGTATGGACTAAGCAAAGATCAACTGGAGACACGCGAATCGAATCGACAGAAATATTTGGAGAAACGTGCACGACGCGAACGCGAAATAATGCGAGCGAAACAACAAATCGCCCATTTGAATGAGCTGGCATTTCAACAGTGGCTCATACGAAAAAACCGTTCATCACGGCCCAAATATAAGAATATGTACGATTCGGTGGAACCAAAGCCAACAATTAAATACCATCCATCGGCAAAATTTAGCCGATCAAGCGAAAGTAGTTCATAACCAATGTTGATGCAAGTCAATTTAGTGTTTCGTTTTTACTATTCATTTGAATTTCGACTGGAATTCAAGTATCGACGACTGATTGAAATTTGCTAAAATTTAGACAAAAAAAAACAATCGAAACATTTCGAATACTCGGTGTGTTATGGATTCTTATTGAGAATTTTTCAAAAGTGAAAAGAAAATTCACTCATATTTTTGGCTATGAGAAATTGAGAAACGTACAAAACTACATTTCAACCGTATGAACTTCCTGTGTGTTAAAATTGTTGTGTTGTCGTTATCGTCTCCCGCAAGTGAAATTGACCGTCTGTGTAACTGTTTCACGGTATTTACACTTATACTGAAACATGTAAATGTTTCAGCATCCCACATACACGAGCATGCCTCCTTTGATATACAACCGTACAACCGTTTGCAACTACCACAACGATGCGCCGCTACTTCGACGCAGTCCGTTTCCTGGAAATTTGCCTGTGTGTGTCTCGCACACACAAATAATACGCATCTTGACTCTGTTTTCTACAGACGGTGCATTCGACGACAGTTCGCGTCGCTGTGTTCATTTCAATACTGTTCAGTTTAGACGTAGTCTGCAGAGTGAATCGAACATCACAACGAAAAATTGCGATACAGCTGGGATCAGCATAAACAAACAGTCTCAAATACAAAAAAGTAGAGTCAAATAAATCACCACAGTAAAAATAAATCAATTTGTAATTGATTGCACTATCGCATTGGAGAAAAGGAAAAAGAGTAAGATTTTTTTTCGTTGCAATATTTCAATCATTTTTTGCAGTTGATGATTAGATAAAGCGTAGTTTTATTGATAGATTGTGATTAAAATGCTATCGTCCCTTATAAATTGATGATTCTATCGCAAAAACTGTTGAGTTTTCGATTTGATCAATGTGAATTAGGTTACAATTCTTTTTGCAAGGTATAACCGTGATATTTTCGTCCGATTTTTATTTTTATTTCAACAACAAATGAAATTAATAAAAACCAACCAAATTCAGTTGCACAGTGTGACGCAAAATAAATAAAATCCACCACACCAAATGACGCATGTGTGAAAAATCGATAAATGTTGTTAATTCCATTCATGCAAAATAAAATTGCAAAAAAAAAAAATATATGTGCGGTTTTAATTAAAACGTACATTCAGCAAAACATAGCCAACAAACGAATAGAATTTCGTTTTTCTGTTGCCAGACTAGACGACATTCTAGCTAAAATGTTGCATTAGATTTTGAAATGAAAACCAAAATAGCGTTCACTGGCGTGTTTGTGCCATGTTACCCGGAGAAGAAGAACGAACAAAGCATAACAAAGAAAGCGGTGCATAAAAGAATATGGAGAGTAACAATGATCAACCAAGAGACAAGTGCAAAGTGAAACTAACTGTATCAAGTAGCCAGTGTGAATTTCATAATGTTTTTCCCCGCAATGAATCACATATGACATGCTTCCATTAACTTGTAATCCATTAGATACCATCTAATTTCTTTACATACCTGGTTTTGTCAACTACATTGCGGTCAGCTTCAAAAAAAACTGTCAAGAATCACATTCTTTTCACGTCAAAACAAACGGATTGAAACAAAATTCTTGTGGTTTGATATTTCGTATGCGTCGCGCCGTTTGAAAAATATTTATATTAATTTATAAATCAAATTGACAGACTGAGCAATGAGCATACGAAATGGACGGAAAATAAATTCTGTGTTTATCATTAAAATGTTTATGAATCCATATAAATATATATAAAATGAGACTTGGACTTTGAATTTCTTAAAAAAAAAACATTGGGTTCTGCTTATGCAAACAAAGCGATTCAATCGGAATGAACTTTAATTGTTGATAACACCCAACGTAACTATGAGAGCAGAAAAGAAAGAAAGAGAGAGAGAGAGAGAGTGAATAATGTCGGATGATGCTTTTATTTGAGGGGATATGATAACGAATTGAATTAGTCACAGTTTGTTTGTGTCGATTTCGTAGTGATGAAATCTGTGGCCCTTACAGTAACTGTGCATGAATCATATGTGTAATTGTATTCAAGTTGAATGACATCAATTTCGCTTCGACGAAACGAAAACTACATTTTTTGTGTATTACCGAAACAAATATTTATTTAATTGGTAATTCATTTGTTCCTTCTATTTCCATTGCAGAATTAATCATGTCGTCGTTATATCCATCGTTGGAAGACATGCAAGTGCATAAAATGGTTCAGGCGCAACAAAATGCGTTGGTTAACCAAATGGCCGCTGCACAAGCAACACCATCCTACGCACAACACCCATCGTATGCACAGGTGCAAAGTGCATACCCACAGCTTGGATCGACACCATCAGTACATGGCTACAAACCGGTCGCATCGGCACCTGAACTCTATCCAGGGTTGTCGGATTTCATGGGTTTGGAATTGAGTTCCGATATGATTGCATTGAATATGCCCGAATACATGCGAAGTGTTGAAACTGCCGTCATGCCTTCCACAACTGGATCTATGATTGCCCCATTGTCCAGTCAGACGGCTGGATTACAGCGTGCCCATGTCACCCATGGTATTCGCGAAGTGATCGTCTGCAAAGGTGCCGATAAGAAAATCGGTTTGCGTGTCAAAGACATTAACAATGGCATTTTCATTACGCTCGTATGCAAAGATAGCCCAGCCGCTCTTGTTGGGTAAGTTTGGAACTTCTATTATACTTTACTCTTGGAAAATTTCCAATCTACAAGCAAATTTAATGATCTTCAATTCGAACAACGTTTTCAATATGAAAAAAATTAGATAAGAGCCTTATCTATTCGGAAAAAGTGACTCATTATTCCCTTTTTACCGAACAGCGATAAAACTAAAGCATGCTTCTCTTTTACAGACTTCGTTTCGGCGATCAGATTTTGCAAATCAACGGAAACAATGTGGCTGGTTTCAGTATGGATAAAGTACATAAGATACTGAAGAAAAGTCCGGAAAATGACATTACAATGGTGATTCGGGATCGTCCATTTGAACGCACTGTTACGATGCACAAAGATTCCACCGGTCATATTGGTTTTCAGTTCAACAACGGCAAAATTGTATCGATTGTTAAGGATTCGTCAGCCGCACGAAATGGCCTGTTGATCGAACATCAATTGCTCGAAGTGAACGGACAAAATGTTGTTGGAATGAAAGACAAAGACATCACAGCGATTATTCTGAACGAAAACGAGCCAATCATCACCGTTACAATCATTCCATCGTTCATCTACGATCACATGGTTAAGAAGTAAGTGTTTGCTTTGGCATATGCATCAAATCGACCATTCCACATAAAATCAGCCAAAATTCAAATGAAATATTTTATCTCTTGATTTTTTTCTCTCTTCGCATACTAAAAAAAATTTCTTTCTTTTTCTAGACTATCGACGTCATTCATTCGCAGTATTATGGACCATTCAGTTCCAGATTTCTAAGCGCCGCGAGCATCGACACAAAATCGTCGAATTTCTTTTTCTACAATTTTTCCTAATTAGTTACAGCGATACACTTCCAAAGAATAAAGCATTTTTTTTTCGGAACGGAGACGATTGACGAGAGGACGATTTTCACAGAGAAAATGAACCAAAGGATTCAAGAAATGCCATTTATTTCTATTCGCATAAATATGAATAGTCAAACTACTTTGATAATCACGTTTGTAATTTCATGAAAAAAATGTTCACCAAACAAATGCTACATCGACTTATTTTTTCATATATGTCACGAATTCAATAAACGAATTTTATATGTTTATTAAGAGTATGGAATGGTTTTCATTTGAAAGTCAATACTTTTATTGTAATTGAATAATTTTGATGAAGTTGAATGGCAACCCAATGTGTTTTTTTTCTGGAATATTGCATCTGGAATTGATTTTTCACTCTGGGCATCGGGAAGTAAATGCAGGGTTAAAGAAGGTAAGAAGATGAATGAACAAAGGTAATAACTATGTAGTGTTTTACTACCTACCTACCTATCTTTCTGAAATGCTCAAGCCACTACAAATTAACGTGATAAACTTATTTTCTCAACGTTTAAAAAAAAAAGAAAACAAATCGATTATATTACATTTTGCTGCACTTTACAACATCAATCGATTGAAATTGTGTCGTGTCTTGTCGTTAATTGCCTCTCGAGCTTAGCGTGCAAAGATTAATTATCTGTTTACACTTTTAATTTGCTATCAATTGAAACTGTTGTGTAGCAAAAAAAAAGTGTTTACATCAAACTAAAAAAAAAACTGCGGCAATTTTGCGAAAAAAGAGCGTTTCAAGTCGGAACGTGCAGCATGCTTAGATGTCATTGAAAGCTGTCATTTTTCAGCAAAAGACTATTTTTCCGATTGATTCGGATTTTGTACGCATAAAATGTGCTGGCCAGTGTTCTGGACTAAAATCGCCTCCGATGGGTACATAAGGGCTGACCTAAAATGAAAAAAATGGCGCAGAAATGACTGATTTTTATAAAAATTATGATGAAATCTGATCGAAAAAGTAAAGACTAGGTTTGATTTTTTTTTACATTTTTTATTCATGTTTGATTGTATCATATACCAATAGCAATTTATAGTAACAAAGCGTTTATAAATATAATCATATCTCATATCTAATATAAATTTATATTGTTTTTTTTTTCTTCTTTCTGTTGTTTGCATAGAAAAGATGTCGCATAATTTATCATTTTCATATCGATTTGATTGAATCTATGCGTGGTCATCGTCGTCGTCGTCGTCGTCGTCATCGATGACGTCGACGATTGGATTATTTTCGAATAAGTGTCAGTAAATTGTTTATTTAATTTCGTAGCTATGTTCTGTGTTAATGATGATAATAAATTCAGTAATTATTTTTCTATTTGCTTTTTTTTTGTATGCGAACGCGAAACATGGAATCTCGTAATATCTAGATATTTCTCTATTGCTGCACCATTGTTTGGTTTGTAGATAAAATGAATTGTTTCAGTTCGTTTAACTAAAACGTTGCATAGAATTTTAACCACACCGTATTGAAATGTAAATTTGGCGAAAAGAAAAATGTGCAGCGATTTATGAATGATTCACATTCAAAAAGAAGATGAAAAAAAAAAAAAAGTGATGATTCAGAAGAAATAAATCACACGCATTTTAAGACGAACAAAAACAAAACGAAGCACATAATTTTTTCGTCCGTTGAATAATCGGGGCACTTGTTTATCGAATGCAATAAATAAAATGAAATCGTTTTTGTTGTTTTGATCATTTGCAGTCAAACACAAGACAATTTCTGTTATTTTTTTTTTGTTCGAAATATTCTATTAAATTTTGTTTGAATGCATTCTATTGTGTTAACGCATTGGATTTTTTCTTTTAAATTTATTTCATTATCAAATATTTAGCTATTCATTCAAATATTTTGTTCATCTTCTAGTTGTTTATATAAAAAAGAAACAAGCACGAGAAAAAAAAAACAAACAAACATAATTTGTGGAAAAATATATTTTGTCGAAGCGGTCGCTGAACCAAGCAATTTATTTTTCCCATTCTCTCTTTCTCTATCGCTCTCACATGCAAATCAAAAGCGATAGCAAGCATAATATAATTGTGTTTTCGTCTTCTTCTCCAATTTCTCGTTACAATCAAAAGAACGTTCCAAATCTATCAAATAACTTATAGATGTGTAGCTTCTTCAATCGTTCGTTCGGTTGCTTCAGCGATCCCGCGCACATTCATTTTTTTCTTTTATCTGGTTTATTTTAATACTTAATTTTATATTCAAGATAAAACAATGCATTTACGATTAAAGATTTAAAGTTCATGTTTTTTTTTATTTATTAAACGTGTGTTGTTTTTTTTCTTCTTTTTCTTTAATTTTATTTGATAAAATTGACAGAAACAAAAAAAAATGAACAAAATGCGAGATAGTAAGAAATGTTTTGGTCTTCGACGTAAATCGATAATTGATAGTATTTTTTTGTATGATTTTTTTTTTGGGTCAAATTTTCATGATTTTCTGTTCTTGTTGTTCGTTTTGATTTTCTTTAAATTAGATAGATATACATAGATCATAGAATTTATTGTTGCATGATTTTTTTTTCTCTTTTCTTTTTCGTATGGATTGACTTTTTTTCTGTATCGTATAGTATCATTAGTTTATTGATAAGGATTTCATCTTTCAGTTACGATTATTACAAATAACATGCAGACGTTGTTTGTTGTCGCATTTGCTTGTGAAGGGACACGAATAAGGGGAGTTAAACTTATTTTGATATTTTTATGTAAATTATTTGCTAATTCTTTTTTTTTCACTTTCTTGCATCGCCCTTTTCGATATCGCATCCATTCTTTCCCTGTTCTGGTCGACTTCATTCATTTCACATCAAATTGGTTGTTTGCATGAACACGAATAGTGATCACGTTTGATCTCAATGTCAAATTCATTATTCAATGCGATCAAAACAACCGAGCCCCCTCACAATAAACACCGAGCTACAGAAGACCGCAAACGTTGCAATTTTTTTCGCTAAAATTCGCTTTCCATATCATAGACATCTGATTACATTTAAATTTTTTTTTTGCATATTTTTTTTATCTTTCGTTTAGTTAATTTTATCATAAAAAAGATTATTTATTAAATTAGATTACGGTTAGATTATTTCTGTTGACGTTTTGTGTGTGTGTATGTGTGTATGTGTGAGTTGCATTTTTTTTTCTCTCTCTCAAAATCAGTTTTCATGAAAACATACATACATATATCAACTACGGAAGAATAGTGTTTTGGATTATCTAAATTGTGTATGTGTGTGAAAGCAAAAGCAGAATTTAACATAGATCGATTTAAAAAGAAAAACTTATTTAAAAAATCCAAAGAATTGAACCAAAAAAAAAACGACAAAGATAAACTGAATGATTAAATTTCTGGTTGTTGTTGTTTGTTTTAACATTTAAGGAAATCATACCGCTTGCATAAATATATCAATGGAGCAAATAAAAAGAAGAATTAAATATGCCGGGACATTTCATCAAACGATCGTCCTCATTCTTTTATAAAGTGCATCACCATAAATTGTTTTTCTTTAGTTTTGAGTTCACTGTGTCTCTTTTTTCTCAACATTTTTTTGTTTTGTTTTGTTTTCACTCTCTCATTATTATTTTATTTTTTAAATTCCATCTTGAATTCGATTGATTTTTTTCATTTTCTCTCTCTTTTTAAATTCCCTTGGCTCACGCTCTGATACTGATCTCTAATCAGCTGATACATCGATAATCTTTTCGGCACCCGTGCCATTTTGCTCGATGTGACCGTTCAATTTGGAGTTTCCATTTGTCGTCACTTTGTCCTTGTTAACGGTGACAGCAGCGGTGGCAGTGGTGATGCCACTCTTTGCTGCTACCTTCGTTTTGCTCGCAACACCATTTGTTGTAGGCACTCGCGGCGATTTGATTGGTGTCGTCTTTGATACGCTTGAAAGCGGCTTTCGGATTGGTGTTGTTGATTTCGTGGTCGTCGATGATGCACTCAATGACGTCTTTGCAGCCGGACTCTGTAATTTAAACCATTTTTGGATTAGCAAATCGAATGAATACGAATTTTGGGGATTTTTTCCAATGATTTTTATGAAATAAAGGCTGGAAAACATGTTTCATCAATCATATCCGAACTATTTTTCAATAAAGAAATTGAATGAATTTAAAAAAAAAATAGCATCAATCGCTTCTACATACTCTTGCTGCCGATAAAGTGGATGTCTTCGTTGGGGTCGATTTTGTAACGTTTGGTTTATCCGAAGTTAATGAAGTTTTTGGTTTGGTCAATGTCGTTGAACGTACAGTCGATGAAACTGGTGCCGACTTGACACGCGATGCAGCCGACGATACAATTGAAGTGGTCGTCTTTGTAGCACTGACTCGCGATGTTGTGCTTGTTGCCGGTTTAGTCACAGTTCTAAAAGTGTACCGAAATCGTTATTAGATATGAAGAAACCTTGTACAGAAGTGGAAAAAACAAAGTATTCAATAAACAAACGCAAATAATTACCTAGCACTCAATGGAACTCGAGGAGCAGCAGTTGTGCTTGGCTTCGGAACAGTTGTTTTTGTAGCTGTAAATAGATTTATCGTTTTTTTAGTCAATTACTGCAAATAATACTTGAATTATTCCTATGATTGAGCCCATTTGAAACGTACCGGTTGTAGCTGCGCTAGCTGTGCGAGCAGTGGCTGGTCTCGATGCGGTGGTCAACGGACGTGTAGCACCAACGGCTGACTTTGTGACTGTGCTAGTGGTTGTAGTTGTCTTTTTAGTGACAGTTGATGTAACGCCGGCTGAAGCAAAATGAATCATTTGTGAAATAATTAGTAAAATTGAAGGTGAAAACAATGAAGAGAAATCAAAAAAGTTTACTCACTTCCATTGCTAATTGGTTTACGTGTAATAGTCGATGTGGTGGTGGTTTTCTTTTCAGCAACGCCACCGACCTTTGGTGCAGCGATAGTGCGCGATGCAACTCTTGGTGCAGTCGTTGTTTTTGTTGCGCTAGTGGTGGTACTTGGTTTGGCCGCCAATCTCGATGTCGTTGTTGTTGCAGTCGGTTTCTTTATCGGTGCCACTTTACCTTTAACTTCGGGTTTTTTCGTCTCGGTTGGTTTGGCTTTTGGTAAAGCAGCGGCCTTGGCAACGCCAACAGCAGCAGCAGCAACAGCGGCCGTTGCTGCAACCACAGCAGCAGCGGCTACCATTGGTTCGCTGACACTACTTTCGACCACTTGTTCGGGTTGTGGTTCCGGTTCAGTTGGCTGTTGTGCGATTAAAGCCTCGATTTCTGATTTTTGTTCGGTTGTCGGAACGTTTTCATTCAGCGATAATTCGTTCAATTTCAATAAGCTAGGTTCGGCTTCGTTGAGCGATTCTTCGGTCACAATGAGCGGCTGTTCCTGCTGAATGAATTGTTCATGTGTTTCGGTTTGAATGTATGGCTCTGGTTCAATAATGCCAGACGATTGAACCGGCTCAAAATCAATATCCGTAGCAGGAGCACTTGGTACAAATTCATTGGCTTCAACGGACAAATCAGACTGGTTTATCACATCTATTTGGGAAAACAGAAAAAAAACATCGAATTTACGCTCTTTTCTAAGTAAACGATTCCTTTCGGGATGCATGCTCGTTATAACGACGAGGTGCTCGTTATTAGGTGGTTTAAACATAAAAATTTCATTTCAAATTACCTGGAGTAGCTTCATTGATTTCAGTTTGGCTGATCGTTTCGAATTCCATAGTCTGTTGAATGTCAGAGAATGCGGCACTGCTTTGCTCTACCACGTCGTTCAAGATTGATGTTACTTCGGTGGCTAATTCCTGAACATAGTTTGTGATTGGTGTCGGTTGTTCAATGTGTTGTTCATGTTCTGGTTGCGGTTCTGGTTCTTGTTCAACGAATTCTTTATGGTGTACATTCAATTTCTCACTTTCCGATGTGAGTTCCTTGAACAATTCATCCGTATCGTCGGCATAATTTTTATTATTCAATGCAATCGGTTGCGATACATAATCGACCAATTCATTTTCGGGGGCATCATCATCTAAGCAATCGGGCAACGGTTGCACGGCATTCATATCAACCTCTTGTGAATTGGAACTGAATGGATTGTTTTCATCATTGTAGAATGAAATATTCATTGGATCTGATTCGGTTAAAAATTGTTGTCCACCATTTGTGGTTGGAACGATACCGTCACCGGCGTTGCCAGCAAACAAACATTCCGGTTCTGGAACTTCGGCGGCCAATTCCTGTTTTTCATCACCATGCATTGCCTCTTTCAAATTCATTTCCTGATATGAGCACTGTGAACTGGACGATTCGGGCCGTTGAGCGATGTCCTTTGGCTCGATGCTGTTGCCATTTTCGATATTATCAAAATTGAGTTCGTTAGCTGCCAATTCGGATGGACGTTGTGAGATTTCGGTGAAATCATTTTCGGCCGGCAACACAATATCCTTGTCATCCATCACAATAGCCGATCCTTTGCGTGGACTCTGTGACACAACATCATCATCCATCAAATCAAGACGATTGTGTATTCCATTGCCGAATGGTGAACTGACCGATGTGCGTTGTGGTGACACCGGAACAAATTCCTTTGCGTCTGGATTAAGTTGTGAGTCCATTTCGTCGTCTAAATCTTCGTCGTTGCCCAAATCGGAATCGTGCTCAGCGGCGACGGATGACGAACGTTCGGCGCGTTCCAAATCAAATAGCTCGGGATGTTCAGTGTCTTGTTTCTCTTCGAGTAGCTAACGAATTGAATGAAAAACGTATTATTCAACTGGAACGATGACAAAAAAACGAAACAAAACGAAAAAAAAAACCATTGATTCTTACCTCAGAACAAGCTTCTTCTGGCTCGGCAAGGGCCTGAGCTATTGCATGTGATTGCTGATTTATAAAGTCCGTTCCTCCAATTGAGGCAGTGGGTGGTGTGGGAGATGTGATAAAAGCGTCTTCTTCGACACCAGCAGCAGAAGCAGCAGCGGCAACGATGGCGGCAGCTTCGTCGTCGTCGTCCTCAACAGCGGCGACTTCTTTCAAGCTCTCTTTGTCGTCGTGTTCACTCTCCAATTCGACGGGCGTTTCACGTTCTTGATTCGGCTTCTCCTTATCGGCGACTTTGATATAATTCCATTCGTCTTCGGAATCGTCACCGCTTTCAGCTACCACCACGTTTTCAATAGGAACTGAGTTGTTTGTTGGTAACACTGTGTGGAAAAAAAAGGGAGAAAACAAAAGACAAATCTTTTAATTCCATATTCCGTGTTCAAAATCAAGTCGACATTCAAAATTTCCTAAAAATAGTCAACACGTCGCATTTGTGTGCGTCTACGTCGTGTTTTCCATCTTATTTTTGTTGTAGATAGAGCAAATTCATGTTTTTCTATTCATCGTTGTCAATTAGGTGCAGTTGCATACAGAGAGTCACGCATCAGTTTCAACATTTTCTAGCTGCTACTACTGACGGCAAAAACGACAATAGCAATTTTCGTTATGGCATTGTGTGTTCTAAATTTAGATTGAGATGCGGAGGAAAAGGAGCGAATTAATTCCCTTCTGATTGTCGGCACACACACAACGACGCACTTGGGTGTGCACTTTTCCCATACTCTCTCTCTCCCTCTCTCTCTCTTTCTCTCTCTCTCTCTCTCTCTCTCGCTCTCTCTCTCTCTCTCTCTCTCTCTCTCTCTCTCTCTCTCTCTCTCGATTTTTCTGTCTCTTTTTTCACCATTCTAAATGTGAACTCGTTGACATCGGTAAACAACATTTGTGTCGGGTTATGCAAAAAAATGAGGCTCATATCGATTGAAAAATTGTTGATTAACACAACGTTGCATGCTGTTATGTGACAATCCGAGTGGAAGGAAAAATAAAATGAGGAAAAAAAATGTAATCGATTTTCCTAATATCGCATTCAAGGCGAAGAGAAAAATTTAATTTTATGTTATCTACTCGTGACAAAAATTGATTTGCCTACTTTGCTTTTGTGCAGCTAGATACCGTGTTCACTGCATCTCTTATCTTAATTTCTATTTCATTCTCCTGTTGGCCCTTTTTCTCTCTCCCTCTCCCTTTTGTTCTGCTCTAAGTTTATTGATGGCCTGCGGTATGTTTTGAACAGTTGTGAATTTTAAACGAAAGTTTTTGGCCGTTGTCCAGATCCAGACGGAATAGCCGCAGGCAGAAATAATCTCTGAATATTTCAATGCACGAGGTTTAGCCAGTGTGTGAGAGTGATTGTGTGTTCCATTGAGTAAAAAACCGCAGCAGCAACAGCAGCAGTAACAGCAGCAGCAACCATTAATAATTGATATTCGCCGAGAGTCGTAAATTTTCGCCAATGAACTGAGTCACAGTACAGTGAGGCGATTTAATCAGTTTTCGCTACCATGAAAACACATTATTTTAGGCACCTACTCAAGTCAAAGTCAGTTCTCTATCTAAATGTGCGATCGACATCCAATAGAAAGCGTAACCGTAGCATTCTGTGTTCCATTTCGGGTGGAGAAAAAAAAAATTGAAAACAAAAACACACCACGTCATACAAACGTTGACTGCTGTGCCGTGTATTGATTCATCAATACTTTGCACCGATTTTAATTTATATATCGTGTGTGATCTCATTTGCGTCGAAATAAGCAAATAAACTCAAAATCTTCACACTCACATGCACGCAGCAAGTTTGAAAATCAATGGGACGATGGGAACGAAATTCAAATCAATGATACTAGCGCATTTTTTTCTATTTCGGTTGCTGTTGATGTCGAGAAGACAAACAGCCACGCTTAGTTTTCAAAAGAAAAAAAGAAACAATCTTTGCATAGAATAGGTGTTATGAATGCAATCTGCGGATCTGTTGCGTTACGGTGAACCATCAAAATTAGGTCCAAACCGTATTTCAATGGCTCGGTTAACATCAATTCTTGATTTAATCGTACACCAACTTATATTCCCATTGATTACGAAACGATGCTGTCGTCGTAGTACCATAGAGCGCGCTCACGCTACTGTACACCACTATCCCATAAAGATTCGACGATTGAAATAAATCGCGACATGCGTTTTGTCGATGGATGCTGCTTTTTTATTTTCCTCACTTTATATCGTGCCATTTTTATCGAAATCGTTTTGGCAACGCCAATTCTGGCATAACAAACCATTTCGACCAACTCAAAACACCTACTCTTCTTCGTTCTCGCTGCCGCTCTGCAACGGCTTCGCATTTTCATTTCGAAATAAATTTCAATTTGTGCCTTGGCTTTTCGATCGATTGAAATGAACCAAAATGAGCATTTCCGAAATGTTGTTGTGCAACGGGTTGAATACATAATACTTAAATAGTCTATTTGTGTGGAATCAAAAATCAATAACTTATGTGCTCGGTAGTCGGACGATGTTGTTGTTACTTGGTTTTTTTTTCTTCGCTCTATCTCTTGCTCTCCCTTGTTTATAATTAAATACGATGTAGTTTTATCGACAAGTTTGTGTATGCTGTGTTTTCGTTTGTCTTATTGGCTTGAGCCAAGTGTTTACTCGGCGCTATTTTTTTTCCTCACACACACTCTCTCACTCTCTTGCTGTGTCTCTCCTCGACCAAAACACATAACATAAATCCACCCAAACGTTAATGCGTTACCACTTCGAAAAGTCATCATTTAAAACCAAAAAAAAATTGAAAAAAGGCATTGTAATGCCTAGACATTTATTACATTCTGCATACTGGATCGGTAGTCAAATGCGATGAAACCATGCGTTTATGTATAGATTGGCCTCTTTTTATATGATACTCTCTTTTTTTTTCGTTGTACACTTTCCTACATTCAATTTTTACTGCAATGCCGGGGGAAAATGCAAAGGCCGCAACTTCTCGGCCAATATTTACGATGTCAACTCTATCCATAATGCCGTTTCAGAGAGTCAGAGAGTCAGAGAGAGAGACAATGAATCGCATTCACGATAAGTAATAAAATAAATGTATTCCTTTTTGCGAATTTGCTCAAAACAATCATAACATATAGACAAGTTGATAAATTTTTGCAGTTCACAATTTATTTCTCACACACGCACACACACACACATACTCCGTGCAAAAACAAAAACTTGTTGTTCAATTCAAGTAGTTCCAGCATGCGATCAATGCAGCTCGTTCGCGCCTCGGACACATAAATTTATTGGTTTTTCTTCTTTTGAGCGAAATGTGAAGGGAATTTAAAAGAAACGAAACGAAACTAAAAAAAAAAACAAATTGACAAGAAAACTCGCGGCGTCTACTATTCGACACCTCAATTCGTCGCAGAACAAAACCGCAGAAAAAAAAAAGTTGGAATTCAATTTTAATTTTTACTTGGGTGGAATTTCAATTGCTCAATTCTTTCTTTGCATTGGGAGAGCGTGTCTGTCGTGTGTTTTGTTGATAAAAAAAAAGTGTATAATGTTGAAAACCCGATTTGAAGAGTAGGTGAACTTGATTTTTCGACTGCGTCGCAGGTAAAAAGTGGATAGTGATCGGCGAGTGCGAGTGCGCACGCACATGAAATCTTGAAATTCTGCAGCGATCGTAAATTTATGGCCAGCAGCCCGAAATATGCCAATCTCGTGAGAAAAAAAAACTGTACGCGAGACGCGCACATTTCTTCAATTAATCCCGGCGCAAAACGCTAGCATTTCCCTCGATAATTTACCGTCTGCAGGTTTTTTGTTCGTCGCTTAATGCACCGCGTCTCGGTCATGTTTTATGTTGACATAAAAGAAATAAAGTGGCGTCCTGAATGAAACACGAACTCTTCTCTCTTTTTATTGTTGCTCATTTTTGTTTTTGGGTTTCGGTTCATTCAAAACACGGACACGAGCGACCGCGTTGTTGATGATATTCATGCGGAAAATAAAAAATGTATGCAATGTTCTGTGCTTTTAATGGTGCTGCTAGTGCTTGGCTCATTGCGATCTTGCCATGTACAATGTACTGTCCGGCTTTTGACTTGCTAATGGCTGGTCTTTGCTCCGATTAGCAAATAAACCTGACCATTAAATTATGATTGCCATATGTATAAATAGAACGAAGCTAGCAAAAGTTAGTGTATGCAGCGGTGTTTTTTGTCTCTGTGTGTCGATGCGATTTGTTTATTTGTTTACGTCGAAATGGTTTATGAGTATGTTGGCGCCTGCGCCACAAAAGAAAAACGGAAGAAGAGAAGCGAACCACGGTATGTGAAAGCAAAAGATCAATTATTGAGCATAACCTCAATTTTGAGCGTTTTGTTGATGCTAAATTGCATTTGTCATAAAATGCGTCGAAAATATAGCCAATTTTTGTCTCACACAGTGCAAAACACTTTTGGTTTTGTCAATGGCATTGTGTTTCGAATATTTGACGCATTGCCAACGGATCGTACTTGAATATACACTAAAATTGGCATTCTATTTGAATGGGAAAAAAGGAAACAAGGAGGAAGCAGTGAGAGAGAGAGAGAGAGAGAGAGAGAGAGAGAGAGAGAGAGAGAGAGAGAGAGAGAGA